CTATTAACATAAATGTAATTTTTACTTCGATCCGATAATTATTTTCCACGTACGGGGGGGTTATTGGTTTCGCGGCTCTCGGACCGGGTTTTCCAGGCCCGAGACCATGTGTCACAAAAAAATCGTTTTAAAATTCAAATCCACTGTAATGTGGACAACAAATAACTTATTCAGAAGAGTACTTAATTGCACACATTCTAAGTGGTGATTTACTCAGTTTGAACGAAAGTGTAATATTTTGGAGATTTTTCATTATTTTCAATATTTTGATCGTTTTCGTTCAATGAAAAAATGGTAAATTTCAAAGCCCAAAATCGTCGACTGGTACCTCGATTTCAGTAACGAGTCTTATACCACGTTAAAGAGCGTTATCTCTTCTTTCAAAATCTGTTTTCAAAACTACGGGCAACTTAAAAGAAAATGTTTGAGGCCAAAAAATACTAGTAGTACTTTTCTGAAATTTGAGCTTTCCAGACTCAGCGGGTCGATGCTAAAAACTCAGAAAAATGCAATAAGAAATCAGTTTGAGCAACAGTGATTTAACGTTATCAGCTATCAGAAACCAACACGTGTTTATCGAGCGATCTGATAAAATTTAAAGCCGTTTTCCAACAAGAAAAGCAGAGTTTAGCCATCTTCTGCTACCAAACGCACGAGTGACGTAAGGTTGTCAAAGGGCAAAGCACAATAATAAACTTCAAAAAGCACAACGTTTCTGCGTCCAGGAATTAGACTTTAGCGGACAGAACAATGCCTACGAGTGTATGTTTCATACCTTAGCATGGGTTTCCTAGATAATGGAAATAAAAGACATCAAGGACAGCATCGGCAAGACCATCTTCGGCTGCTCTCAAACGACGGAGATTGCGTTACTTTTCACAGATTGACCGCTTACCACCTGTTTTTGGGCTCGCATTTCGACGAGACATTGAGCTGAATTTATCGGAAATATGCCACCACCAACAACAACATGAGCTTTTTTTCGGGTATTTGTCGTTTTTTATGCGAAAAGTTCGGGTAAGCAGATTCTTGCAAAAACCATTTGGCTTAAAAAATGTGTTTAAAAGCCCACCCTGGATTTGAAGCAAAAAGTATTTCCTCGAAATAAGCTAAAAATACCCAATTCACGCGGTGAAAAAATGGATGATTATGGAAGGATTATCGAATTCTTGCCTAACCTGAGGGATTTCTCGTGATGTAGGATTAGGGCTAGGAAAAAAGCCCATAACCTGCTCCTGTCGTTGTGAATTTCCTCAAGATCAAAAATTTCAGTAAGAACCGAAAACAACAGCTTAAAGGAGGTGCACACACCTTGAACTAGCCAGGGAAAAGGGGCTTCTGATTGAGCTAAACTGTCATTGATGCACGGTGCAACTAGGTAGACCTGTTACTATCCCCCGCGCAACCACATGGGGAGTACTTTGAAGCGGTCCTGTCGGGGACTTTCGGGGGTAGGGGGCGGGCCAAATCGAAAACAACTTCTCTTTGTTTTTGTGAAGTACATCATTTCTCGCACGGTTGACAAGGTGACGGCGGACTCCGTACCTTTGGAAAGGCCCTTTTGAAACATGTCCTGGCAACATGCAGGGAATCACGAAATTAACGTCAACACCTTGAGTCAACTCCATGAAAGGGAGAGGCGATAAGTCCCATCTTGTCTAGACGTGAATAGTCTGTCCACAGTCATTTTTCATTTTGTATTTCGGGAGCGTTTGACAGCGTACGAGTGAACTGGAGCGCAGTAACGAGCCCTAACCCCACCCCATTGCCCTTGCGGTCAATAAATCATCGCGTTTTTCATTTTTTTTATGCGCGTTCGAGAACCTCCAAAGGGAATATTGAGGGTCTTTGTACAGTTTCAGTTTATTTTACCGACAAAAAAGAACAAAACAAAGCAAAAGACAAGTATACAGAAACACGCAGAAGCAATGTGGTGAGGAAGCCCAAAAAGAAACCATAAGGCTTAGGTCATCCCCTTTTCGTTCGTTTAGCGTCGAATAGGTTTCCTGGTTTTGGGTGGGTCGGTCGGTGGGGTGAAAAAAAAAACACAAGAAATCTGAGAACGGGAGGCCTGAAACACCAGCATCATTGCCGTGGAGACTGAAAACAACAAGACATGGTCACCAAATCGACACAAATTTAATATGGCGGAAAATTTGAGGGTCAATTTCATAAAAAAAGGCCCAAGAATGGTAAAACGCAGAGAGGATACACCACCGAACGTTTTATGCCTCGAAATAATGTTATAATGCTAACTTTTTAGATTAAAAGAATTAATCTAAGTCCAAAAAAAATAAACCTTGTCGTTTCTTTTTCTTGCTTTCTTAAAAAACGCCAAAAAACTGGGTCTTTTGGTCGACACTAAACGAAGAAAAAATTAATATAGGAATTAAGCTCCCCTAAAGCATAAAAGTATAAGTTTACAAGGACAGGATCGAACGTATACTGAGTAACTAAATGATAAAGATTTGATCAAAATTAACTGAAAGGCTAAGAGCCTAAGCGCTGTCTGATAACGAAACGGTAAACAAGAAGTGCTGCCTCTCATTTAAAAGAGACGTGAAATACTGGGTGGACCACATCCTGAACTCCCGCGAAAACCGCAAGAGAGGAACGCTCATGGCTAAGGAGACTAAACAGGGGCGTAGCTACTTGTACGCACGGTTTGCACGTGCATACCCGAAAACATTGAGGAAAAAAAATAGAATGAAATAAACATAACTAAAAAAAATCGGTTTCCAGAGAAGCGACGACATTAATTGGAGAACCGAATCTTGGATGATTTATTTATATAGCAAGCTTGATGATGTAAAGCGTGAACGCGTTGTTTTCTCCACGACCTGTCTTCGGAGTAGACGAAGTAGGGCACAATTACGTCAATGTGTGGTGCTTTTGTCGGTAAAAAATAATGCGACAAAAAGGGGTAAAAAGAGTCATTTGTAAACTAAAGTCGGAGGTACTACAAGCTTGATTTTTAATAGCTGAATTAATGATAAACGGTTGACGTCAATGAACATAACAAGCCGACAGAATTAAAGAATTTTAGAGGTTGTGTCATTTCATAAACAGCAAAAATGCTTTTGCTTACAACCGTTAACCCCACCTTTAATAAACGCACCTTAAAAAAATGTTGAGATTTGGGGTGGGGGGGAAGGTGGGGAAGAAGATGTAGAAAAAGTTGGGCGTAGCTCCGGAAAAATCCTGACTACGCACCTGCTAAAGCCTGAAACTGAACAACAGGAGTCTTTACGAAACGTCCTCAGTTATCACCTGTCCGGGGTCGTACTTTCAAGGAAACGCTGATCAAGAATCACTCATGACGGAATGAAAACTCCTCGTAGCATCCAGCGAAAAAAGGAGTGACAACAGTGGTAAGCGGTCGTTCTGTGAAATGTAACGCAATCTTTGCCGTTTACGATCTTTCGGCGCGTGGATTTGAAACGTTGTTGTTTGGTATGTTCTCCCTTGTGGATACTTGACAGTTCCAATATATGGAAACACCATGCTAAGGTACGAACAACAGACATTCACAACATTGTTTTGTACGCTAAAATCTGATTTCATGGACGTAAAACGTTTTGAATTTTAAGACTTTTTATATTAGTGCTTTGCCCTCCCTTTGACAACTTCACGTGACTGGTGCACTTGGCAGGAGTTGACAGCTTAAATCTGCTTTTCTTGATAGCAAACGGCATTAATTTATATCAGATCGCTGTATAAACACGTTTTGGTTTCTGCAAGCTGATAACATGAAACCACTATTCCTCAAACTGATTTCTTACTGTATTTTTCCAAGTTTTTAGCATCGGCCCGCTGAGTCTGGAAAGCTCAAATTTCAGAAAAGTACTACTTGTATTTTTTGGCCTCAAAAATTTTCTTTTAAGTTGCCCGTAGTTTTTAAAACAGATTTTGAAAGAAGAGATAACGCTCTTTAACGTGGTATAAGACTCGTTACTGAAATCGAGGTACCAGTCGACGATTTTGGACTTTGAAATTTGCCATTTTTTCATTGAACGAAAACGATCAAAATATTGAAAATAATGAAAAATCTCCAAAATATTACACTTTCGTTCAAACTGAGTAAATCACCACTTAGAATGTGTGCAATTAAGTACTCTTCTGAATAAGTTATTTGTTGTCCACATTACAATGGATTTGAATTTTAAAACGATTTTTTTGTGACACATGGTCTCGGGCCTGGAAAACCCGGTCCGAGAGCCGCGAAACCAATAACCCCCCTGTACGTGGAAAATAATTATCGGATCGAAGTAAAAATTACATTTATGTTAATAGCTTACCTAGTGCTACTTTGTGAATTTTTTTGAGAATTTTCGATTTTTCAGTTTTGTAGACCTCTGGTCGATATTTACTGACATCCGCTCTTAACTCTGGTTTCGGGCGACATAACTTCGGGCGAAATGACTTTCGGGCAACATGACAAGACACCAAAAGGAGGCTCTCCTCGCAGAGTGCCATAGTTTTTTTTAGCAAAGAATGAATAAAGAGCTTTACATTCTAAGACGAGGACGACTACGGGAACGACTAAGTAGTGCGCGCGTGCGAACCAACGTCATTTTGGCGGAAAAATGTGTTAGCCGTCGTCAGTCTACTACGAGTTTTAGGGAGAATGTCGTATTGGCGAAAACAAGTTATCAAATGTTAGAAATTTTATCATTTAGCGATCGGGAGAAGGCTTAACCTCCTTCAACACAAATAAGTGTGCTAACTTTGGTGGTGAAAAAAGTACAATAAAGCTTTCCGGGGTGTCTATTTTAGAGAATAGGCGAGAAAAATTAAATGTAGTCCTCGTCCTCGAATCTAAAGCCCTCTAATAGGTTACGACCCTTTAAAGAATAAGTATTTTCACACAGGCTATGCGTATAACTACCTCATAATCTTTAGCTGCTATCATGTTGTTGTACTGCTGTCTAATCTCCTCTGCCTGGTACTGATAACTCTGCATGGACCACATCAGACGTGTTTTCTTCTGCAATTGCCTTCAAACTCTCAACCTGCGTTCGCAGTTTTTCATTCTCTAACCTCAGGGAATCCGCTGAATCAACATCAGATTCTACAAGATAAATACAATTAATAAACCTTTTAATCCCTACTGTTAAAACCTCAATTCTCTGTAGCAGATACCACATTTTGAATACAAATTAGAGAACTTTAGATTCTAAGACGAGTAAGACTACGAGTACGAGATTTTCTCAATACTAACTAGTGCTTGCGCGTCAACCAGCGTCATTTTGGCGGGAAAACGTGGTAGCCGTCGTCACTCTACTACGAGTTTTAGCGAGAATGTCGAAGTTGCGGAAACAAGTTATCAAATGTTAGAAGTTTTATCATTTTGCAATCAGGAGAGGGTGCAACCTCCTCCACTAAAGGTAACAGTGCTAACTTTTCTAGTGAAAAATGGTAAAATGAAGCTTCCGGGGAGTCTATATTTTGAGAATACGCGAAAAAGCTTGAAGTCAAATCTCGTACTCGTAGTCGTTCTCGTCCTTGAATCTAAAGGTCTCTAATGAGGGAAGAAGTACGACGTCTCAATGATTGCACTTGTAGTAAAGTTAACAAATATTTAGCATTTGCATGTGGCTTGAGCCGTAGCTTAGAGGGTGACCGGTTGTTTCGCCTACGTGTCACGAGTCGTTTCGCTAACGTCCCATTCGCGAATGTCTCATGACGTTCCGCTAAGAAGCGAAACGAGCGCTGCGCATGTATATGCTTCGTTCTCTCAGCCATGATACAAAAAAGTGCTATACGCAAGTATATACTTCGTTTTTTCAGCCACTGATCAGGAGAAAGCCGTTAAGGAACTGCCCCAACACATATGCGAAACGACTTCAGAAGTTGGCGAAACGACTCCTAGGCGAACCAACCGTAAACCGCTTAGGGGGTCTTCTAATGACCAGTGTCTCTGATGTCAACATCCTAATTCTCTTTACCTGCTTCTATGTTTCCTAGAGAAGAATAGGCGAGAAGATGGACCATGATCGAGGGTCCCATCTTGGGATACAAATACAATGTCGAGTGTCAGTTAAGATTATAACTTGTTTCCTTCTTATGCACGTTGTCCCCTAACTAAAGGTTACAAAATGTAGAGTGTAAATCCAATAAAGGCAGTGCCATCTATTGATTCGGTAAGGGAAAATGAGAAAATGATAGCCTCTGTAATGAGAGAGGGTTAAAGCTCAAAGGCTAACAGATATATCCACTGACAGATTACACAGAAGAGTTGACACTTAACTGTTAAGATATATTACTTCTACTGACTTATTGCTTCTTAAGGGTGGTGGCCAAGATAACTTTTCAAGTTACAATCAAGAGAAAATCGAAGGATATCAAGAAAAAAGAGACATGATGAGGGTTTTGAAAACCTGATTAATCAACTACTAAAATAAATTTTGCTCTGCGCTCATCACATGTATCTAGTGAAGATTCCGACGGAGGCTACAGAAAAATAAGAGCTCTAGTCACGTTCTCATTGAACCTGTATTTAGTGACAAGAACTACAAAATTAAGCTATAACAGTTGTTTAAATTGCCCTTAACTCCGACCACCGGCATGATCAGACCAATTTTGCTTGAGTGAGCATCAGTATTAAGCTTCCAACTAAGCAAAAGGCTCAGCTCACAAGAGCAGCTTCATATTGTACTTTCACGTAACCCTTGAGGGGAAGAAGCTGGAAAAACTTACCTGGTTCAACAGAAAGATCAACAGAGTTCAATCTCTTACAACCAGCTTCAAACAAGTGATATTGTATATCAGGAACAGTCCTCTTGGTCAAAGAGAGACCAGACATATTGTTAGCAGCTTCTTAATGGCAGCACATCGAATTCCATTCCGTTACCAATCAAAGGGTTTGCACTGTGCATAATTAACTCACCCACCTTTAGGAGTAAATTTGTAATTATAGATGCCTGTGGTGTAATGACACAGTACCTGAAGCATCCACTCGCCGCTTCTTGGCTTTCGTCGTCGATAGGCTTGTTTGATCTTCCTCTTGATCCTGTTGGTTTTCTGCCTCTTCTGATGTCTGCAGTGCAGGTTGCTCGATAAGCCCGCCAAGCGTTGGCACTTCATCATCCAGATCCATACCTACCTCGACACGGTTCTCGATCTCAGCCTCTTTGGCTGATTTGATCTCCTGGGGACGGCACACAATGATAACAGTGAGAACTGCTATTGACTTACCTTCACAGTCTTCCAATTCACTCAAGGAGTGAGGGATTGTAGCCATAGCGGTTATTGGATGGTCATACTCTACAGAATGACCACGTAAACAGTGATGTGCTACTTTTTTGCACTCGAATGGTTTTGAAGGGATGGGGTTAGACTGGAAAGGATCAGTGATTCTGTTACAAAATAATAGTTATGGTGAGTCCCGGGACTCATCTTGCGAAAAATCATGAATCCCAGTCCAGAACCAATGAGCCCCAGTTCAAAAAAAATTGAGTCCCCGGGTCTTTTGTAACCATACAGTTAATCTGAAGACAGACTCTAAAACTCCAAATTACAGTAATATACTCCTTCTACTATAAAGCACAACAAAGACTAAAAGAAATGAGTCGTTTAACAACAGCCACGAGAACAGCACAGGCACAGAAATCACACAAACAGGATATTCTAGAAAAACATCTTTAGATTGATCAATTGATCTCTCTCCGCGTCCTATGGGATGAATACCACAAATTATTTTGTGTCTTTGGGGATTTTTATGCGTCAGGGACGCAGGACATGGAGGTAACAAAATCACTGAAGGATTTTTTTTCCTGTGGGAAGTAAATACACCCTATGATCACTTGTCACACTGGAAAAATAAATGGCATTTGAGTGAAGCATGCTACGTTACTGCCAGAATGTGGGTGTGTGGTGATAAGAATCAAACCTTCAACAGACCTTAAAAGTCTAAACAACTGAGAAACATCAGTTTCTCAAGGAAATCATTTGGTACAAAAGGCTGTTTCTTGTGTTCTGCACGGACTATCAGATTCCAGTTAGGCAATAGCTGTGTAATGCAGGGAGCATGTACTTTGTTTTAAGTAACAATCCAGCAAGTGTTAACCATGGCAACTTTCAAATAACAAACCAAAGGAGAGAGTCAAACTTATCACCCATACACGTACAGATGTAACTAATACTTATCAAAGAGAGGCGAGGAGAAATATGTTCACATTTGTACCACTTGTCAATGAAAAACTAAAAACTGGCAACGTATTTAATAAAATGACGAATCAATAACCTAATGTTTTTCTTTGCCTAATGTATCCTAGACTGATAAATAAATAAATAAATAATGATTTGGAGGAAGGACATCCACTAAGTGGTTCTTCGTCTACCTGATTCCTGGTCGAATTGGAATTTGGAAGTGTTGTTTTTTGAGAAGAGGGTAAAACCAGAGTTCCCAGAGAAAAACCTCTTGGAGCAAGGAAGAGAACCAACAACAAACTCAACCCACATATGGCGTCAACATCTGGATTTTGAACCCGGGTCACATTGGTGCTAAGTGAGCACTCTCAGTACTGTGCCATCCTTGCTCCCAAATGATATGGAATCTGAAAATGTTGATTAATGAGGAGAGAGGGAAACCAGCAGCCTCATGGAGCAAGAAAGAGTACATAACACAACCCACGTGGAGTTGATTGTGAGATTTGAGCCCAGGCCACAATGGTGAGTGGTGAGTGCTCTCAGCAATGCACCACCCTTACCTCCCTCATGTTATGATTCTTATCTTTTAACAACAACTAAATATTGGTAATGTTCATGTTCTTGGGTAAGCGATCAATAGAACTACAGCTTTAAACCTACAGAAGGAGGAGTCTCGGTTGAAGAATGCATCATAGAATTTCTAGCACCTTTAACCTACCCAACAAGGAAAGTTAGAAAGACCTGAAGATGTACGAGGTTGGCCAAGAGTTGTATGACAGCTATTAGAATACTAGCTTTTTGATGAAAAGTCTACAACTGGGCTTTTGGTATGGTCTGTGTTTCCTTTTGTCCACTTAGGAAATTTCGGAAAAAAGAAACGCAACAAGATATATCGTGGAGTAATGACCATTTCAACTCTTCATCTGAATGAATATTATCTCAAGCAACTAACAATACATACATGTTAACACTTGCTATCAACATTTGATACAACAAACAAATGCCTTTAAAACGATTGCAGGTATTTAAACAGTCTGTGATTAGGTTCAACCCTTAAATTTGTATTCTTCAGTAGAACCCTGTTAGTACGGTCAACAAGGGGAATTACAAGAAAATGGCGGTATGGCCATTTTGCCAGGCATCCAAAAAAGTGGCTGAATAACAAGGTGACTGTATTACCGAGGTGGCCGTAAGGCGGGGTTTCACTGTATTGTTCTATGCGTGTTCTAAATGGGCATGCTATTGATGTAACATTGTCAATGTGTAAAAGCTGGATAACTTTTAAAGGAAATTAAAGATTTGTTGTTGCTGCTGTTTTTTTAGAAGTGGCCTGTTCTGAGCGGTTTAAATAACAGTAAAGGCAATGAAGGTTGATGGCTGCAACTGATAACATGGCAGATGACTGTACGCAGAAAATCATAATCTTGCACTTACATTTTGTAAGGGTAAAATATTAATAAGAAAGTTCTCCAGAAACAGTGCGAGATAGCCAATCAATTCCCATCTACATTTCACAGAAGAGCTGGCTACTCACAGAAAATTAATTTAAAGAGAGGTAATGAATCTGATGTACCGGTATTTGTGTCTTAATGCTTATGTTTGATTAAAAAAACATAATATGATATAAAATATAGAGAATATGGGGAAAACATGAAACAAAGGTGCTATTCTGATGGCAAAATTACATCCTTGGCCACATACTAAAAATCCACTAATATGTACTTTTCAGGGTGGCCAAAATTAACATTACTCCAGGAGAGGTGCCTGGACTCCCTCACGGAAGATGGGGCAGCCCTTCTCCCACATATATGTACCCCAAGCATGGATTATGATCTAATCTTTTGCTGCCTACTCAATAAAGTGGAACCTGAATATAACAAAGTGCCAAGGGACTGGCAAAATTTATTCGCTATCACAAAGTTTCGTTATATCAAGGTACTCTTCCACATGCTTTACTATTACTGGGGTAAAGAAAATCGTTTGTTATACAGAGGACTTCCATATACAAAGGTTCGTTATATCAAGGTTCCACTGCAACAATTTTTTCGCCTTCTGATCTAAATTTTCTCGAGCAGCCTGTGAAGATTCAGCAAAATAAACTTTATAACAGTAAAGTACTCATGAGTACACTTACATTTTTTATGGCACCATGCCACTGGGTGATGTTCTTCCTTTGGGCCTTAGTGAAATGATCCCATGCTTTCTGCTTCGTTGCTGCTTCAAAAACCCTGCATACAGCTTCACCTAATGGTAGAACATAAGAACCATAAACTAATGATTATTTCATTACACACATAAGAATAATAATTAGCAAAAAAATATGTACAAAACATTTCAAAGTTTCATGTCGCATCATTATCAAGTGACAAGATAAACAATCTCACTTAATATACACTTTTCAATTACACGAGCAAAATTAATATGTTACTTTTGTTGTTTACTTCTTCCATGCTTAGCAAATCTAAATAAGATTTGCACAGAAAACGTTAAAGAGAAAGCCTATCTTGCTTTAGAATAACCTCTGATTGAATGTGGATGTTACCCATGGGACCCCCTCATTTAAAAATAGATGAAGGACATTGAGAGTAAGCAGAGACGAGCGGCATGCTTTGTTAAAAACGAATATAGCACCACTCCTGGAATTGTCACGAAAATTCTGAGAAACTCGAGAAAAGAAGGAAAGTGGCATTACTCAATTCAAAAGGCGACAGAGCACTAGGCAATTCCATCCTAAGGAATTCATTCAAGTCTGTTCCAAGCAACCAAATACCAACACAGTTTTATTGTATGTAAAATCAAAGACTGGAACTCTTTACCAAAAAGAAAGGAAGCTTTCAAAATGGCTGCCATGTGTCACCTTTAAAACTGCTGACCCCAAACTTCATTATTATTATTTTATTATTAATTTTACTTACTTAACGCTCCCACCTTGATTATATTTCAACATAAGCGAACATTTGCACATCTGCTGTGATGTGGTACACCTTTGCATATAACATGATTAGAATTAGAAAATCTCCTGCATACATTATTTTTATGCCTGCATAGTGATTACTTAGACATTTGTCAAATTGCATTAAATATTAAGCATTAAAGAGTTAACTTACATTGCTGTTTGATTTCATTGCCTCTTTCCACAGCCTGTTGTTTCTGTTTCTCTACACGTTGTTCATGCTCCTTCCATCTGCTTACCAACCTTTTGATCAGACTATTGACAGTGTTAGGCAATGGATGGAACACATTCACTGTAGAACGGTTACACTCTCCCCTTTCAAACCAATGTGTTAAAGTACCAAGTGACTCTGTTAAGGCCTGATCATGACGAATCAGGTCCATAAGATGGAACGCCTGTTTGCGTGTAAACTCAAAGCTCAAATCCTGTTCCTGCTTTTCTTGAGGCAGCTGCACCTTCTCCTTGACTACCATGCCACTTTGCACCTCTTCACTACCCCCAGGCAGTTTGTCATAATCAACATGAATGCGACCAATTTTTTGTTTTTCTGTCGCAACCATCTCCAATGACCAGTACATGACCATTGAACTTGACTGCCTTCTCAACAGAGTCATTGAGAAAGCGCAATTGGCAGTGTTTTACTTGTGTACTTGCTCGAACACTCTTTAGGCTTATCTGTTCAATAGGCCCACAGACACTGAAAATCTCCCTGACAATGTCTTCGTCAGCCATGCTTGGAAGACCACCAATGAAGATTGCACGACATCCTGGTTGTTTCCCACTTAATGCCAAAACATTGGTGTCATCTAAGGGGGGTACAAGATAACAATGGCAGCGAAGAAATGCATTCCAGGAAACAGCTAAGTCATTTCGGGATCCATACTTTCTGTCGCTAGGACTAACTTGCCTATCTCTTATGTCTCCCTTAGATCGGACAGGTGACCTTAATCTGCCTCTGCTGTGCATACCATAACTTTGCCTCTCCATTATTCTCCCTTCCATATTTCTCTTCATTTCTTTTTGAGCCCATCTCTGGGAACAGGAAATCTACTAGAACTTCCCTGTCCATCAGCCCATGAACTCTATCACGAATCTCGCTAGAGTAATTGTCCCTTCCCTGAGATCTCATGTATGGCTCTCTAAGGGACCTCTCTCTATGGTTAAAGTCACGCAGTTCCCTTCTGAAACGATCATCAGTGGTTTGCATTCTCTGTCTTCCATAACTTTCTTGACCAAATGATCCTAGACCCATGTTTGACTGAGGAGCTCGTAACCCTTGTAACTGACTCAAAAGCTGCTGGGGATTTCCCAATGGACTCCCGAGTGAAGGTAACAAGTTTAAACCAGTTTGGTTAAAATTAAAAGGATGCTGTCCAGTCATGCCTCCAGCAGCGTGGCTTGTCCGGGATTTTTCAAGTACTAGAAAAAATAGAGTCAAAGACCATATTAATATTTATTATTCATTCAAAACATTTCTCCGTTTCTGAATGGCTAAAATCACATGCATAATTCATCATAACCAGCCTTTGTTGACCAAACTTGGAAGAATTTTGCCATATATTGAAATGAACCGATGATGTCAAAAAAGCAGCAACATTGCAGATTATTGTCTTGTTAACCAAAAAGACCTAGGGACAAGTTTGAGTTGTTTTCGAAGTGAGTAATGGTGGAACATTTTACTAGTTTCATTTTAAACTATTGTCTAAAAACATATAGCAAGAACAGCAAAAAGACACCTCAATGGACAACATCTGATATTTGGAGTATATTTGCAGACCTGAACCGCCCTTTCTCTCCTAAACTTCCCAATAAACATGCACTATTTAACAATGACGGAGGTAAGCACGTTTAGCTTTTTTTTTTAAACTTGGAAAGACTGAAAAAAATTCAGGCTTTTACGGGATTCAAACCATTGACCTCTGCGATACCGGTGCAGCACTCTACCAACTGAACTAACAAGCCAACTGGGAGCAGGTCGTTGAGTTGGTTCGTTACAAAAACGTGACAGGATAATGACGAAGTTATGAATAAATGAAAATCATATATGAGAACTGCGGGGTGAATAATTATATGAAAGAGGATCATCGCAGTTATAGACGCAACATTATTTTGCAGTTGCGAGAAGAAACCTGAAAAAAAAAAAATTTGATCTTCTTTCATATAATTCTTATTTTACCATGTATTATTATCATTATGTGGCCGTTGTAGAGAGGTTTAACTATGTCTGCTGGAATAAACATCCCCTTATGCCCTGCAACTACCGAGGGAAAGGCAAAGGTTAAGAAGACAGGCATGTTTTTAAGTGAATACAGTGGAAGCTCTCCTAACAGACACTCTCGTAAGCGAACAGCTCTACTGACGACCACCTTTACAAAGCCCCGTTTTTCCCAACTCCCATACAAACTTTGTATTTGAACAATCCCGTAACCGGTCGGACCCAGTTACCGACACCTTTTTCGCGTGCCGAGGGTGTCCGCTCACAAGAGCTTACACTGTAGCAGCATCCGTCAGTCACGGAAGGCTATGGATTTCCACCCTGATGAAGGTGGACTCGACAGCGTCTTCTGTAGCTGCACTGTCAAATGCGGGAGTGGCAGTCTCTTCCGCAATGTGAGTAGATGTAGTTGGTGGCGATACTTTGGTGTTATCTTTCTTACTTGTGTTGTCTCATCTGATCTGCCTCCTCAGCCAATGACACATCAAATTTTCTTAAGCCCTTGGTTCACAGCTGTTCTACCATATGTGCGGTCAGACGCTGTGGTTTTCCAAGTCTGCGTGTTTATCTGCAGCGCTTTGAGGTCTCTCTTGAGACCTCCTCTAATCTGTGGTGTGCCCGCGGGGCGAGTTCCCTGAGACAGCTCTCCTTAAAGGAACTCCTCTGGTATTCGGTCATCGTTCACTTGGACAACATGACCAAGCCAGCGCATTCTCCTCTGCTTTAACTGGTCGAAAACGCTTGGGAAGTTTGTTTTTACTTCCAAGACGTTGCTTTTGCTGACTTTGGCCGCCCACTTTAAGTCGAGGAGGCGTCCGAGGTAGTGCATGTAGAATGTGTTGACTAAAGGGTGCTTTCCATTTTGCCAGAACTGACTGGCCAGACCATTCCCGTCATAATGAGAATTTCACTTTTCATCAAAACTATCCAACCAGATCTGTCAAATCCTAAATAGTATGCACGAAGGAGATGGTTTTTCAGCAAAACCCTCTGGAAAAAGCCCATTTCATTTGCTAACTGACTGGTCCGGCCGGCCAGTTCTGACAAATGGAAAGCGCCCCTAGCGTTCCTGGTGGGCACGACGTTTCCAGGACTTGCTTCCACACAAGAAGGAGCACTGCACTCAAGCTCTGTAGACTATGACCTTGGTGTGTGCAATCAGTCTGTTGTTTGGTTCAAACTCTATTTGACAGCCTCGACATCGTGCTTGCTTCATTTCCAATTCTCTTGTTCGACTCACTTTTGAGTGAGAGACTGTGATAGTGGAGCCAAGGTATAATAATTAGTAAAATTTTGCTCACCTTCGATCCATAGCTTCTTTCTTTTTTCTTTTTTTTTTTTTTGCATTTTCCGGAACTGTCAGTTGCTACAAGCTCAAAATTTTAGTGTAACTGGATTATACAAAACAAGTTTGTCTTTACTGCTTCCATTTGACATTGTTAAAGAAGATAAACTGAAAAGAGACTCACTTTGTTGACTTTGTCATGCTTTCTTGCTACTGAAAAATCGTGGGGCAAAAATCGACGCGAACGGAGTGTATTGCCTGATACCCGACCTCCGATTTGCTACCATGTGACCCAAAATAGACAATTAAATCAACCAAAAATTAATCAGTGGATTATAATTAGATATAAATAAACAAATTCACACCAATTTTCCTTTCTAAAATAATATAGATCATAAAAATAGCTATAAAATATTCAAACGTTTGCATTGGCATCTATGAGAGTATAGACAATTGAAATTGTTGTCTGTTACAACCATTGGTTTCAATTCATTATTGTAAATTGACGAACAGACAGCATCTTTCACTGGTCCATTCTGTTATAAACCATATTATATAAAATTAAATTAAAATAATTATGAGCAATTAAGATGAAAAACCCTAAATTAACTCTCACAAAATATCATCAACTCATGCAAATGAAACGTTGTTAGGTTTTCGATTCTACATGAAAAACAATAGAGAATGAAGAATTTGTAACAACAACTTCGAATGACCATATTAAAGATATTTTTATTGAATTTTAGTCGATATTTTATGGACAAATTTTTAAATATGTATATTGATATTTAGTGAGACTCCCATCTAACTCCGATAAAATACACTCTTTTTTATTATTTTATTAGGACGATACCTTTGTTGTGGTGGTGTTTTTAAGAATATTTAGTAATTATACACTGTGCAAAAAATAATAAATTAGAATTAGAATTAGATTTAGAATTAGAAACGGTTGAGCACGTATATAGCTTTTTACATGAATATTTTAACCATAATAAAGATTATGGTAAGGATATAAACTAAAAGTCCTAGTCGAAGTGTAACAAATTAAACCAGTCGTAATTATAAACAATTAGGAGCAGCCTTGAGCAAGCGATTGTAACAACCCCCCTGTAAAATAAGGACTATGGCCATTTCCAAGTTCATGAAACTCTCCCTTTCAAAACGAGGCTAAATCAAGACCCTTTCTTGTGAAAATGAGCTTTCAAGAGTACAGCTTCAGTTTCATATCAATGGCTTAGCTCTTAGCCTGGCTTCGAAACAGAACCTGAGGCTATATTCACACCGGCTTTCAGAAAAGCCATCCGGCATAGTATAAACACTTATCCATACATGACTCGCCACTTTAGAGATCGGTGCAGTGCACAGCTTCACTCTTTTACAGAACTATCGCTCCAAAATAACCGTTCTTATTTGTGAACAGAAGGCTAGCCCTACCCGGTTTTCGTGCCGGCTTAAAAGCTAGTATGTGGTATAATGTGAACATAGCCTGATTTTAGACCACATGATGTTTCCTACAAAACACTATTTCTTTCATATTTTAGCTTATTATGTTTGTATAAATGCGAAAGATTCACTCAGATACACAGGCGTAAAACATGGAGTATGGAGCATAACTCCACCTGAAAATATCATAAAATTCAATGCATTGCATAGCACACGCCGGGCCAGGCATAAACTAGCCAATGTCCAGCAATTGTTTTACTTATGTTTATTTTGAGCTCAATCATCCTTTTTTAAGTCGTTGTTGTTAGTGTTCTCAATACCTTACCGGTTAAAAGTACGAATTTATTGCGGGCTCCTCTTGCCGCCCACAATCCTAATCTTCAGGTTGTTATTAAGCATGCGTTGCATGTAGGTAGCCAGCATTGGTTTGGACTTCCACTAAGAATGAACGGAATGCACAGAACGCAATATATATGATCATGAGCGTTTGGACCTTCTATCACTCGTAATATGATTACGAGTGTTTTGACTATCACTCACGTGAAACTTCGTACGCAAAGCACAGTGATTTTGACCTTCGATTGTTGTCGCCTGCACTCCGAAACCTTTCATTATTACTAGTTAATATAATATATTTGAGTTTGCTTAATGGGCCCGTAACGTGCATGGGTACCGTCGTGATGAGTCTGCGTGTTGGAGGCATGATGCATCGCTTCCCTCCTGACACGTTCAATGCTGTTCAATGTAGTTTGGTGGAAGTAACTTCGAAATTTTGCCCTTCCCAAATTAAATTCTATAGGATTAACGAAGTGGTGCTACAATAAAAAAAAGTTCCAGCTAGTTTAAGAAAGCTTGTTAATCATTTGCAAAAACAAAATATAAATGCATACATGCATTACACAACAAATAATTATTTCAATGTTAAATAATGGTATCTTTTCAGTTGCAACTTGTTTACTTTATAAATCTCCGGATAAAACATAGCTTTTTTAGAAGACCCCGACCCCACGACTTGGTGGGGAATTTAACATTGGCCGCGTGTTAAAACACCGCTAATTTCCCGGCTCCTCGGGCCAAACATTTTGTTAGTGGTTCATAAACAATAAACACAATTCAGTTCGGATTTACAGTATTTGCTGGTCTCAGCTGTACTTGTTCTTAAATTCAACCATATATTTAACTATACTAACCAACTGTGGTGAGATTGGACCTCTTTATATGACCAACATTCAAATTCGATCATGCAGGTATGCGCACATCAGACCAGGGTCAGGAAATCCACCCTCAAGACCTGAAACAGGGACTTGTTTTGTAACAGTGCCATCCCTTGCGAAATAACTTTTGGAATTCCTAGGAATTCCTAGGATTATCCTAGGAATTTCTAGGAAAAAAATCCTAGGAATTCCTAAGAATTCCTAGGAATTCCTAGGAATTGTAG